AAATCGGGGGTCCGTACAATAGTTCCGAGGCAAAAGATTAGTTTTAACCTTTTATTTAATTAAATTTAAAAGTTTTAGTTATTTATTTTATATTATAATATTTTTAATCCCTCACTTTATTAGATTTGTAGGTTTTAAACCTTTATTTTAAATTATGACACTTTTAATTTCTTATTTATTAAAATTGAAGAAAGTAGCAATCACTATGTAACATTTTATTAATTTTGTTAATTGATTATTAATTGACTGTTAGTTAACAAAAACTTTTTTTCAGCTATCAGAATTAACAGAACTAATTTTATAATATTTCATTAATTCTATTAATTAATTATTAGTTGACTATTAGTTAACAAAAACCTATTTTCAGCTAATAGAATTAACGATTAGTATAAAGTGAAAACCATTTTTTTTAATTTTTATAAGTGAGGGGTTAAAATCTACAAATTTAATAAGACAAAGAATTAAAATGTTATAGTATAAGAAGAATGGTTAAAACTTTTAAACTTAATAAGATGAATTATTAAAACCAGGTTTTTACCCCTCTTCGGATGGATAAATTCTTTTTTAGATTTTTTTTTTCATTTTATATTTAGTTAGTAGTTAGCAATTATTGAGATGTGATAATTATTTTTTTATTAGTACATTGTCTCAATGATTAGGAACACATCCCATTTTTCTTCGACATTGACGTGTTGTTAATTTGATTATGAACTTCTCAATCCGAGAAAAACGTGAAAGTAAAGAAAACGGAGTAAAATTAAAATGTTTACATTCGTTACATAACTAGACCCCGAACAACAAATGTCGGCCGAATCCCTTAGTTGCATTATATATATATATTTGTGATTAATACTTTAAATTAATTTTTATTAACATTTTCTATAATTTAAACCAACAAAACTATAGTATAAATAAGAAATTTAACCACAAAATTAAGATATTTAATTATTAATCTTTAATTTTTTAATAAATTTTAAATAACATAAAGGATCAACCAAAAACAAAAAATACTTTAAGACATTAACAGTAAAAAGAAAAAAAAGTGTAGGGTGAAGATAGAGATTTTGGCCGATAAATGT